TTCGGGCTGATTTGTAGCCCTGCTTTCCTTCTCAAGCCACTGCTCAATCCTTCCTGGCAAATTGGAGAACACATCGCGATTAACTTTTAACATAGCGATGAACGACCTCCTTGAACAAGCTCGAGCGTCGTCGATCGTTGTGTGTGATTTGGTAGTGACGGATTGTGCATCTGTCATTGCCACAATACAGTGAATAAAGAGCAACGATTTAAAATATCGAGTTCTTGCACAGAGGTTTGATAACCTTAATCAGTAGGCCATTTGCGAATTCTCACGGTTGAGAGATCCGATGCTGAAATACCATGACTCTTAATTCGCACTTTGCCTCGTTCTCGTGCCTCAGTGAGAACTTGAAAATGGCCCAAACCGCTGGATGTTACAACATTTCTGAGAAAAACCGGAAGTGTCATGTACACATTACTTTTTATTTATCTATTTATTTTTACTTTGCAATTTTGAGAAATGAGTTTTGAGCAGAGCATAACATACAACATGTCGAAAGCTTAAAACAGACGAAAAACTAATCGAAGATACGCTAAAGCCACAATTCATATACTACAGTCCCCCTTTGACTACTTACGTACTACTTGCAATCGTAAGCAGCAACAAAAGTTTTTAAATGATTATTTCAGTGGATATCGAGTCTCACTACTATCTCAAAATTACTATTTCATGAAAAATGATTGTGGAAGATTGCATTTGTATTGAATCATTTTAGATTTTAGGCGGAAGGTTTTTAAGGTATTTACGTCGGTATTTCTCTAATAAATAATGATCTTTAATTTTGTCCCTACTCTTCTTGATGTTTAAAAGCAGCTTACTTAACTTGCATATCAGAATTGAGGCCACAGACATCTATCTCGTATAAATTAATGATAAATTAAGATCATTGCTGATAGTAGGATGGGCGAGTTATCCTTCCTACTCAGTTCCAGTAATTCAACACAGGTAAATTTCTATGAAGCTGTCTACATAACGGACGTTAAGTCAACATTTAATGAAAGCCTCAAAGCCTCCAAACAATAAGACCTATTGTACTTGTAAAAACGCACATTATCTGTTATATTCATAAGATACAGCTAGTTTAACATCCTTGTGACACTAAAGTGATTATGGCTCTGGAATAGAGAATCTCGCATGAACTAAAACTTAGTTTAGATTGATTCCATTCCTGGCTCGCTTTCTTCCTTCTTTACTCGAAAATATTAGTTGCTTCTGTACGTGTACTTGTATTTCGTGTTCATTTTGCAGCTAACCTTTGCCGTTGGAGCCCTTACATCAGTCCCTCACCATAATGATTTTCGAACCGCTAGCCCAAAGTTTCCAGTCTGCCAGATTTTACGCTGGTGCACCGCTCATGATCGAAACACGAACAGTATTAGCGTCGATCCCAAGTAACGCAATGGCCGGCGGGCTCTGTAGATTATTTAACTGGTATCTGAATGGCGCAGATAACTGATGTTGCTGGTCAGATATTCTAGTATGTCTTCTGAAATTCCACAAGACACATTAAAAATGGAAAATTATGCTTGAAAAGAATAGCAATAACGGTTAAGAGGAGGCGCAAGTTGAAAAGTAAAAACTTTCTGCTTACAAGGAGTAAAACTGGAACTAAAACGAAACCGGAAAGAAAAAGTCATTGACTTACCATTATCGATGAAAGTCCCTCCTTATCAACACTTACATGCAAGTTGTTGTGGCTGATATGAATTAAATAACATTCATGATCCTATACTCAGCACGAAATATTACACTCATTCAGGAGAATGGAATATATAACTGATTTTCTCTCAGCTCGGTCGCGTGGCGACCGACTCAAGTGTCGGCCGGGAGCATCCTTATTGCCGATAGACTGTCGACTCTCGGCAGATACTCTACCGACGCTCGGCTGACTTTTGTCAGTTTTCAACCTTTATAACTTTTTATCTTAATAGTTAATTATTGTATCTCTTACTCTTGCAAACCTCGTCTTGCCGGTCCATTTTGTTACGGAGTTACGGATTCTTGTTTCAGCCATAAATCAAAGAGGGGACTGAAAAACTCAGTCCATCCAGTGCAGACCTCGAACTCGGTTAGTAAGAGGTATCTAGTAGCCGAGTGTGGTGAACCGATCATATCAATGACGGAAAAAAGTGCAAATTAGTGACAAGAAGCTAAAAGAGCGCGCATTTTTTTAATATAATACAAACGTTCTGCGTGCGTATTGTTCCTTATTTTGGACAAAATGTAATAGAATTTCCAGACGCGGCCGGTAATACACTATAACTGTGTATGTTTACGCGATTTAACACTAACTACTCTTATTTAGTATAACCTACTAGTGTTCTATCGCAAATGCCGGTCTCTGATTGGGGATGCTACTCGCTATCTATTCGGTGATAGATAGCGAGTAGCGTTTGTCGACAAAATGGCGGCTGCTTCTTCGCGCTTTCAAATTGTCTGCGGGAAGAATTTAGATAATTTACTTGTTTAGTTTTGAACGACTAGTTTATACTAAAACAGTTAGATTATTCGCTCTTGGTTTCTATGCGAGATAGCTGATTCGGGCCGCGCGCTCATCAGCTATACGCGATAGAAATCTCGAGCTAATAATGTAATTGTTAAATATAAAATATGCAAAGCAAGTAGGTATTTAGGGATTTTTTAGTCATTTAGTGGGGGGAGGGGGGGATAGGGGGGTCAGACCTTCCACTTCCCTTACCCTGCTCTCCTGCTTCCCGTACCTTTATCGTTTATCTTCCGACTCCCGCCTTTTTTAGTCCTGCTCCCTTCCCCTGTAAATTTTGAGACTCAGAACGCAGTTCTTAGGCATTTCCATTGTTTTTAAACAATCTGCCCAAGATATACACTGTCATATGGCCTCAGTTTAATGAAGTTTTGACTTACTCGTTTATCTTTTTTGTTTGAGAGTTTTACCATTTCAGTCCATTTTCACGTCACATTTGTTTCTGACATCCGTTTTCAGTGACGACGGTCTTAAAAGTTCTAATTTGCAGTTCTGAATCGTCCCGTGTTCTGATAAAGTTTGATAGTGACTAGATACGCGTTTCCACCAACCAGTCCGGCGTTTGTTGGGATCATGCCATTAAAATACGGAAATAGGATATGACGGACTTGACCAAACGTCCCAGGCATATTTCTGATATTCTTATTTATCGATTGGCAAATCTAAGTACATCTAAACGAAGTCTCCCATTTCCCGAGGTGGCTGCAGTGATCTTCTTGTTGACCTGTCAAATCTGTCTCCTCTTCCGAGTAATTGCGTGATTCTATCTAAAAGACCTATCCAGGATTTTTTTTTCCAACTTTTGACTTTAAACGGGTAGCGAAAATCTATCGACATTGCTAGAAAAAGTGCCTAAAAGTTGGTAAAAATAATTAATGGCCAGTTTTTAGAGAAATTTTTACAGACGTGTGACGTGCGTCGTGTGTGTGTTGGGGGGTGCAAACTTCCCCCTCACCCCGAAAAAATTTTCCGACTTTGCGAAGCTATAACTTTGCGATTTTATAAGACATAACTCCAAAACTTAGCCATTTCTACTCATTTTAAGGTGCTCTTTCCAGCAGTGTAGAGAGATTTACATGGTCAATATAAAAAGTTAAAATAACCATGAAAAGGACTATTTCACCAGATTCTGTATCACGTTCAACTCAGGAGTCTGAAAGAATCTTGCAGAATGTTTCCTCTATAAGTTGCAACCGGCTATCAGTCCTCCATGTACAGACCTTTTACTGCCGCACCGAAAACCACTAACGTGTACTAAGACCTAATAAAATGGTCTTTGACGACATAGAGTTGAGATACTTTCCTAACCAAGTCGCGCACTCAGACTTGCTTATAATACGTGACACATGTGCACTCATGCTGCTTGACGTAACCACCGTAAAAGGGTTTACATTTTCACCGGAAGTAAGCCTGTTTTTCAGCCCGAGTTTTCGTTTCCTCGATTGCTCAGAAGACGCTAAATGCACGTCAAATAACATTTTGGGTTCTTGTTTTCGACAGTATTATAACGTATTAATAAATGACAATAATTAGCGTTTTGCATTTCTCTCCCCTCTCCCGCCCTTTTAGAATTCCCGCTTCCCGCCCTTTCCTCTCTCGCCTCCCGTACCCTTCCCGCCCCCTATTCTCCCGGGCTCCCGCCCCCCTGTCCCCCCCCTTCCCTTCCCACTATTCACGGGAAATTGACCATAACAAGAAAAGTTGATTGCACCTGTGTCTCCAAAGAGGTCCAAAATGTTGACCTATCTTATTTGCCGAAGTGTGCACAGTTTAGTTTTATATAAAATAAGAACATGTTTCAAATGTTAAGCTAAAGGGGTTCTTGTACAGAGGGGGTCCAATTAGCAAACTTTAGCTTAACAGGTTCTTAAAAAGTAGGTTCTTACTTGTGGGTTTTTACTGTAAACCTACTCAAGTGTCTGAGCTAAGCTAAGTGTCTGCGACAATTAGCTTCTTATTAAATTTTCTTTTCAGTACCGTAAAAATCAGTGGCCCATTTAACATGAAAGGTCTATTTGAAGCTTCAGAATCTTCCTCCCCTCTCCTTTCAAATTTCTAAAAATTTTGTTTTCTGTGCTTCTTGGTGTATCTTGCACCGCATTGCAGACTACACTAATTTCAAAGCGGATTCTGCTCAGCAATATCTTGCAAAAGACGCTGAAAATATCCATTTGGGTGAGTATCACCATACCATCTCCTCCACATAAATTCATGAAGGTACTCTATCAGAAAGTTAGGGTTTGTATTACCCTTCATTTTTTTTAACTTTTCTTTTGCTGTCGACCAATTGCTTTGTCCCCAGTGGCCGGATCGACGAAATGCAAGGAATTATTGACTGTTCTGTGATTCAAACCCAGTTGTCTCTGTATCTGGCGATATGATACCCACTGATCGGTGTGCAAAATTTAACTGGGTTGTACTTGGCGTTGTATAATGCCCAAAAGAGTGGCCGCATTACGTCGCTTACGAGCTGTAGGTATGGGCGGGCTGGCACTTACAGTGTATCGAACAAACCAAGTACCCATTTTTCTCTTCTAGGGCGGCGCCTTCTATGAAACTGCGAAAGAAGTACAATTCCATATGATCGACAAAATATTTGGTGATGCAGCACTTAACGATACCAGACAAGTGAATAGTGCTTTTTTTAGGGAGCCATCAAATAATAGTGATCTGTTCTCTGTTTCCAAAAAATAAACCACATGCAGTGTTATCCCTAACAGTCAACAACCGTAGAATCTACTGGTTAATAGGCCATCTACCTGGCTGCCCACTCCTTTTGTGAAACAATTATTTTGGTCCTTAAAAACAAATTAGTTATCATAATCATCGATATATAACTGTTCTGTTGTAGTTAGCTGACGTGAAAATGATCTGGTTGCCATAGTTAAGTGAAATGATAATACTATTACAGTAAACAAGAGCTTCTGAACAGAGCGAATTTTTGTTATTGGGATTGAAAATTTGCCGGAGCTCCTCACCCTTGCAACGTGATTTTCTTATAGTTGATTAATAATTTTAATCTTTCCTTATTGTCTTCTCTTGATTTAGCCGGGGTAAATTTGTCGATCGGACAATCACCTTTCACTTTTATTAATGATAATGGAACCGCGTTTTTATTCCTTCACTTTTTGGCACCAAAGTTTAGCAACAGTTTGGGATATATAGATGTGCGTTCAACCTATCAAATAAGCACTCTACAGTGGCAGTATTGGCTACTTACCAAAGTATTCAAACCTTTTTTACTCAACTTTGACTTGTGGTTAAATTTTGACTCGTCAATTTGAATAACGACCCCTGGTCCACCAAGCCTTGGGATTGGGTGTAAGATTAGAGCCTGCCAGGCCCCTTCTCTACATTTTCGAGCCATATCGACGCAGACAGGGGTTATCGCGTGATAACCGTCCAACCACCTGACGTAAAGTAGCCAATTGTGTAACTCATAAGATTACGTGATGGTCACAATAAGCTGCACTATATTGCATTCGAATTGTGATACTCGAAGTATATAACATAAACGGAAGTTATTGGACTGGAAAGAACTTAATTAGATTCGCAATTTCATTGATAGTTTCTGTTACGCCTTATAGTGACAGGCCTGTATCTGGGAGGAATTCACGCCCGTTATGAAGGAGTTCTGAAGATAATGGAACAGAGAAAGTGTTTCCTTGCCAAGGCTATGGAGAAATATGGAGTGGTCAGAAATACGCTGAGGGGATTCATCGGAATTTGTGAGCTAAAAATCTTGGACAGAAATAGGTTCAACACGTTTGTTTCCACGGAGAGGGAGTGTTGTGGAAAGCCGTCGGTCAAAGACATCGAGCTACGTTGCCGAGCTGCCCTGTCAGAGTACAGGGCGCAGTCCAAACGATCCAAAGAAGAAGGCAGACTTCTTCCTTTCTTTCCTACAGAAAGCTTTTACACCGGAAAATAACAAAGAAACTCTTTAGGCGTTTTTAATTGATAAAGAGAAGCTAGGGATCCTCCCCTCCCCACCCAACCACCACCACGCCACATTGGAGAAAAAAAAGCATTCATGAGCTGCCCGTTCTGAGGAAATGATAGAAACATAGATAAAGTTTTCAATCAATTTTTAAATGAGCTGAACTTCCCTTAATCGCTTAGTATATCAGTTAAAATTTTAGGAAATCTAACCAGGATAATTATGATAATGCACTCAATGTTACATACTCAATTTGTCCGATATGAATGTCTTACAGCACTTATCCAACCTGTCCTTTGTAAAGTCCAGTTCAAATCATCACTGACATCCACTGTAGGCCTCAGTCTCAAAGATTCGGCGGTAGCTGAGCGAGATTCCCCTCGTGCGAGCTTTCATCACTAATCAGTTAACTGTGTTAATGTAATGAAAAAACTCCAACCTTGAATGACAGCTCGGCTGAATAAAGCCATAGTAATTATTATTATTTATAAATATAGTCGTCGCTCAAAACTTGGCAATTAATATATATTTCATTCTTTGTTTCGTTCAGTATATATACCGCTAATAACCCATAATTCCCTAATTCGCTCTGACGAAGACTTGGGTAAACGCTCAAAACGTCAGCTCTCGAATTCTTGTACCGTGGTCAATTTACCACATGAACTTACTTGCTAAACCCAAATTTCTTAGTGTGCAAAATTTTCACATCTCTTTGCGTCTTGTTCTGCGATGAAATTGTCAACCGAAACGGCATCCGAAATAGCTCACTCGACCTAGCACTAGCTAGCTGTCGGCGTATTACACAAGATAGCTGCCGTTTAAGGAGGAATACTGCTGAGACTGAAATGATTTCCTACACTGACATATCATCGACAGACGACCGACATGCTGCCGACAGCCGACCATTAGGTAGCGATCGATATGTCGACCGAGTGATCACTGCTAGTATCGATCGACACTCGATGGAGTGTCTGCGAAAAGTAGGATTCTATTCACCGACTATCGACCGACTGTCGACTGACATGTCGACCGAATGTCGATCGACAGGTCGATCGAGTGTCAACCACACTCGATCGATATGTCGGTCGAGTGTCGATCGCTGGTGGTCGATCGCTGGCGGTCGATCGCTGGCGGTCGATCGCTGGTGTCGATCGCTAGCGGTGCCTTACAGTGGAATTCTCTTCCTGAGAATATTAGGGCGATTAGATCAATTGGGCAGTTTAAGAAGGAAATCAACCGCGCACTTGAAACATTCGATTCCCACTCGGCAATTATGTAAATCAGTTTTTATAGTTGTTTTAATTTTTACAAACGATTGTAATTAAAATACTATTAGTGTAACTGAGGATTCTTAACCGAGTTTTAATAAAGATCTACTGCTACTACTGGCATCGATCGATGAAAGTACTATTGATGAAAGTAACCGTACACAAATTCACCGTCGCAGATAGCTTTAACTTCAGCCAGTTTAATAGTTCTTCAATGTCACTGCGTTGAGACTGTGCAAGAAAGGCGCCTTTGGTAAGTGGAGATGGCTATACATTAAGATGATGTTGTCATTTGCATCACTTACAAATGAAATCATTAAACCATTAATTATTGTAAAAGCAGCATTTGTGTTGGTAATTCATCTACTTAGGTGAAAACTCAGAGCAGATTACTCACTTGAATTAGGCTCCTTGAAAAAACAAACAGTTAACTCCCCTTCATAGCTCAAACTACCCAGGCTGCTTCTGACAAGAGGTATGGCTTCAACAACACCAAGATATGATGGTGACTGCATGAAACTGTCATATGCCTGATTTCCCCCCATCATAGACGGGATGAATTCTAGAATCCAGCTTGGCGTCAGTGGTTGGTGGTTTTTCAGTTGAAGGAAGGACTTGTTTGTTAAGTATGTCTTTGCTAACAACATAGAAATAACTGTACAAGCATTGTTGCCTTGATGACTGCCAATTGTTGACTGAGATAGGAAGGCTGGCAGTTCCCAGAATGTGACTGATTTTGTAGTTGAAGATGGAACATGTATTGAAGTGGATTGTTGTGGTACACTTAAGTTAGAAAACTTTTGTTGGGCTACTAATGGTGTTTTTTTGTTGAGATTGATTGTATGATTGTAAAAGGTAAGGGCAGGTAAGGTGAGAACCTCGAGATCTTTGGTGGCAAGGTTACCCACAGTTGAAAAGTGGTTTTGGTGTGAATTTGCAACTGAAGCAGGCCTTTCTGTGCTAAGTCCTCTTTCTTAAGTTGTCCTGTGTGGAATACTTGGTTATGGTATAATAAGCTGTTCCAGATTTCTCATATTTCCCCCATCATGGGACTTGTAAAAGTCTGAATACCTAGAAGCATGTATTGCTAGCTGGCTTTCGGGCTGTTCATGACTATTGTGGCTGTCTGCAATGTTGCTACTTGCATCATGCTCTATAATACCTTTATTGAAGGAATCACTTACCTCATTTACTCTTGTTAGAAAAGGATCATTGCGCCATCAAATGGATGGGCAACTGCTATGGCTGGGAGACTTGATGCCATATGAATTGCCACATTAGCTTTATCAGTAGGTTTAGTATGCATATTCATAACATGGAAATCATCAGTGAGATGGATAACAAGTTTTTTGGTCTTAAAAAAAACTAATATCCATTTCATTGATTGCAAAAGTGGTTATGTTTATTGTTCGTTGTAATTATTCTGCCTTATCCTGCAGGCTGTCAGCACAGTTTTGTCCACAACTTCCTTGTGGTTCTTTTGCCTGCTGCTGTTTAAACATGTCATTTATACATATTCCACTGCTAAAGCCCAAGACTCTCCCTGCAGTCTGTGCAGACCTGGTTAACCCATGAATATCAAGGAACATTTCAGCCTATTTTTTAGAGATGTGACGTTTTCTGGGATCTGAGGGAAATTGCAAATTATTCCTGTTATCATACTCAAGAACAAAGGTTGTTTTGTACCAGTGACTGCTGACACTGTCAGAATAAAGCCGCTATGAAAATTTGTGAATTATATAAAATATAATCATTTTTTATTCTTCTAATGGAAAAACTTTAGGCATGTATATTGTGATTTGAAGGAAATACCTAAAGTTAGTTAACATGTGAAGTAGTACAACTATTCTTTGCTGCTGTAAATGTGGATGCCTCTCACTGGTGGCATGTCTATTTGCACTCACTATTGTACTGATGAGGATGTAAATGAGTCTCACAAAGTGCCTGGATATCATTGGATCTGTATAGAGATAGACCCCCACTCTCATAGCGCCTGTAGAAGGCTGACTGAAATTTTTCCACCAGCTTTGAAAGATTATATAGAAAATGTAATAATAATGTATTTGACTACTCTGTGAGTTATATAGAAATATTTTCAACAATTAACATGGGTTTACTTGTAAAATATGAGCACAGTGCAGAACTTTTATCAGTTTTATATTATTACCTGATTGATGCTGTCGTGGAGATGTTTAACCCTGCAGGTAAAATCGTAGCGTAACTCTGATTATTAGAAATATGGTGGATTGGTTACCTTTCTTAGATTATGTTAACGCATAAGTAAGGTACTTACTTATGCCTGGTGATTAATGTTGAGAAATTGGATGTACCAGCCTGTGCACCAATTTCCTGACACTTTTTGTTAAGCTATTGAATTGTGGTAGAGCAGTATGTTTTGCATCATACATTTAACAGCATTTATAGCTTGTTAACCACATTGACCATCTGTTTAGTCTGCTTGGCACTCCTACTGAATTTTGCATGGCACTCCATCTCCATTTTGCATGAATGTTTTTTGTTTAAGTTATTGATCTTCTCATGGAAACAAGGTGATCATTTAATCTATTGTGTATTATGTAAATGGGTGAAGTATGTAAACCCAGAATATCCAGCAGGAAATGAAAGCCTTTGAATATAACTATCTGAAGTAAAGTGGTCCTCGAGGCAAATGCTTTGTCGGCATTTCTCCAACAACTTGTGCACCACAGCGTCCCTGGTTGATAACAAGCCTTACTTTCTCAGCCTTGTCAAATAGTTTGTACAGTCTCGTGGGAATAGATGTATCACTCAGAGTGGAAGAATGTGAAGGTAGTAGGCACGTTCAGATGTTGCTCCTTTTTCATATTGCTGATGATAACATGCCATTAATATATTCATACAACATTTCCTGGTTCCAGCTCCGCCACTTGAGTTATTTCAGTGTTAAAGGCAACTATGCTTCCTCTACAAGAAGAGCTATGGCGTTTTTTCTCTCTCAAACAACAAACCTTTTCGCCGGGTGGTTTTTCATACTGAGGAGGCGATAAAAACAAGTGTTATAACAATAACACGGGCTACGAAGTTCATTGCCATGTTACGACCGCACTTCGACACTAAAATTCACACCTGTGCCCTGAATAATTTTTTTGTTGGAAAAGATATGTTGCAGAGCAGGCTCGGAAGAAACTTTCTTGAAAGTGGGAGCCTTATCTGTTCAGGCTAGGGCTTATCCCCGCGAAATAAAAACACACAATATGAATTTTATAAATGCCGCCATATCGCCTCTATAGTGTTACTATGGAAATATTGTCATTCCCATTCCTTTTCGCGCGTAAATTTTCGCACGCATTTCAAACATGCGCACTCGTTTTGCCGCTGTGTCCGTTTTCCGTCCGATTTATGGCCCATGCGCGAAGCGCACGGGCCATAAAACTCGGTCTGTAACGTACAGCACGGTCCTCGAAATCGGTTAGTAAGAGGTAATTCAAAATATAATAGTTAACTAGCAAGGTTACAGAAACGGACTCATGAATTCCCAAAGACTGCTCTTGAACTCAAAAACTGTAAAAAGTTACAGTTATTTACGTTAAACATGTGCTAAAGGCGTGCTTGTGAGCTCAATGCCAGTACCCCGTTTCAATACAAGTCAGTACACGATCACAGCTCGAACGCTTCTTGCAAAATGATGTGATGACTATGATGATTCGTCGAAATGACTCTTCAGTTTCAAGCCTTAAAAAAAAAATATCAAATCACAAGCAAGTTCATCATAACCCGAGCATTAAGGACGTTTTATTTCTTGAATTTCTTCAATTTCGAACGAATCGAGTAGATTAGTAATCGAATAGATTTGCACACGTTTTATTGCATTGTTGAAAACGTAAGCGGGCAAGGGACCCGAGAGCTCTTCTAGCTCTTGCTCTCCGGTCGCAAGTTTGATAAATATTTCAACTGGAAGTTATATGATGTTAGACATCTCGCCAAAGTGTATTGATACTACTTGTCTTGTATTTAGCAAAAACCAGTGGAAGCTATCTAAACAGCTCTTCTAGCTTCCGTTTTATGAAAAAAATGTACTGCCTCTAGCTTGCGCCCTGGTTGGCGTATACCAGTTTCACTTTTTAAGCCAGTCTTTGCTCCTTACAATTTAAAGGTTCGATGTTCTCTGCAGGTTCCTCTTACATAGCCGTAGTAGCCATTGATTTTGGGACCACATACAATGGCTTTGCTTTTGCTTTCAACCAAAGGAAGGGAGAAGGAGGTATCCATGTGAACAAAGCATGGGGATACGACCAAGGAGCAGCAACTCTTAAAACACCAACCTCTCTTTTACTTCGCCCTAATGAGAAATTTGATTCATTTGGATTCGAAGCAGAGGAAAAGTACGCCAACTTTCTCCATGGTGAAGATCGGGAATATCTTTACTTCAAACATTTCAAGATGACACTTCATAATACGAAGGTAAAGCCATAGTTTGACCTACTATCGCTTTACACCCTCAAACTAGTATGTAAACCTTTCATTCCAGGAGTATTTCTTTTGTTTTGTTTCTGTATGTCTCTTTTTTGTTTCAATATGTTTCATAATCTTTGCTTTAACCATCAGAAAAAAAAATGAATATATTAACCCTAAGAAACGAAAGAAAAATACACCAGAGATAGAATAGAAAAATAATGATAAAAATATACGATTACCTTTAGAAAGTGTTCTCATTTTGGACAGAAGACTACCTGGACTACCAAATAATTCATTTGCAATCAATAAATCCTATTTTTAAGAAAAATAACTGCCAGTATTCTTTAAAGGTAAACCTACATGACGAGAATTTGCTGGAAGCAAGGCTCAGTGAAGGGTTTGAGTTGTTTCTGTTTTCTAAAAAGTTCACCTAGAACTTTTGAATCATTTTAAATAAATGTGATTGTGTGGTCTGATTGTCCGTGTGAGGGAAGTCATGATGACAACACTCTTTAGGACTGTTTTCGGTAATGGTGACTGACGTTTTGAAATCCTCAGCGGAAGATATCATTAGAATCGACTCGACTTATTCTTCATGAAAAACCACGCAAAAAGTGATAAGAATCTAAGGGTGTGAGGGGCAACATAAATTAAAAAAAAAAGAGATATAATTGTTCATATCTGAAAACTGCATACTTAAGTAATAAGGAGAGCGTCGCTTGCTAAAAAGAGGAAAGAAGGAACGGAGTAAAAATCAAGAAATACTATTTACGGTTTTAAGTTATTCGGGTGTATATTCAAACATCTTTGCTTTGTTCTAGCAGAAACTATACAGGAATACCAAGCTGAGAGCACGAAATGGAAAATCGATCAATGCTTTACTGGTTTTTGCTCAATCGATAAGATACCTCAAATATCAAGCTATCGAAATAATCCGAGAGAGAACTGGAGACAAACAGTACTGTGAAAAGGATATCCAGTGGGTTATAACAGTCCCTGCCATTTGGAAACCTGCTGCTAAGGAATTCATGCGGGAGGCTGCATGTGAGGTATATATATTTTTGCCTATATATATGGCATGTGCTGGAGAGGTTTTCCATCCGCTCAGTGAAAATAAATGGAAAGGGGTTTGACTTCGAATAGGATTATTTGATGGCGATAATTTTCTTAAGCCTACCGACTTACCTTATTACCAAACTTTTTATTATTGTATTAAATTTTTTTTTCTATTTAGTTTATTTTGATTTATTTTCAGTAAAATACCTAAAAACTAGCTTGTGACTGTTTTTCGCTAATAGCTAAGTGTACTTACATAATAAACCAGTATGTTTGTATGTATGTTAAAATTTAGAGAAGTTCATTTGAGAGCCAAAATTATTCATGAATGTAAAGGCTCCCTAAAAGGTAAAAAGATGAAAAAATCCAATATAAAACAAAAAAGGGAACAAAAAATACAAGTTTCTTGAAATCTGTAACAGACATAAGATTTAGTCTTAGTTTGGAGAGTCACGGTGGAAGAAGGGAATTGCAACATATTTCTTGTTTTTATATGTTTCATGTTTGTTTATTGCTTTTTTTTGTCTTGTTTTTGGCAGGCAGGGATAGTATCAAAAGATGCACCCGATCAGCTACTTGTTGCCTTGGAACCGGAAGCAGCATCTATATACTGTAGGGAAATGAAGATGAGGGAATTTAAAAGTGAGAAAGGAGATGCTAATATATCTGACGTCTTCGCGAGGCCTGGGTCAAAATACCTTGTAATTGATATCGGAGGTAATTCAGTTAAATGCTCGTGGGCTTTACTCACTAACAAATCTCCTCTACTTTGGGCTACTATTAAATTCCAGAACAATATCTCTCAGTATAATGGAACTATTGAGTAAACTGGATTTGTATATGTGTCACAGGTGCCCTAATTCAACCAACTAAAATGTCATATCTATCTTTTGAAAGGTATTACCTCAAACGTAAAGGTATCTTTTGTGCTCTTTGGAATTAAGTAAATAAACCTCGTGCGAGGTGATTGTAGCAGGAGTACAATATTACAAAGTGGCTGCCTCGCGTTCTGCCAGTGTAACCGAGGAAGTGATGAACGCGATAAAGGAAGTTTAATTCCAAAGAGCACAAAAGATACCTTTAAGTTTGAGGTACTACCTTTCAAAAGATAGATATGACGTTTTAGCTGGTTGAATTAAGGCGCCTGTGACACGTATACAAATGATAAACCTAATAAATACGCAGAAAAATTTCTTGTGATAGGCACTTTAAATGGACCTGTGAAATTCTAGTGGAAACTGGTTCCTTATTTCGATACTAGTAATCAAAACAATTGACACCGAATAGTTTCAACATCAAATCGAATATTTAAAATAGAATTCGCAGGCATCTAAGCATTTATACTATAACAATTATTCGCCTCAGGTTCAGTAAATATTGATGATTTATCCCCATGACTACGTCTCGGGATTACTCAACAGTAGTCACTTCGCCTTCGCCAATTAAATGTAAAATATTAGGGTAGCTGGAGTAAGTTCTCACAGTGTTGGTCGTTTGGCATATATACCATTTTTTTCCTGTCTCTTCGTAAAGGCGGAACTCTAGACGTGACCGCTCACGAGATATTGGCAAACGGGAACATCAAAGAAATTCATAAAGTGACAGGAGGACCTTATGGTGGAAGAAAAGTGAACGACCAGTTCGTATCCTTCCTTGAGGGGTTCTTTCGAATTGCTACAGTGGAAGCCTTTCGTGCTGAAAACCCGGCAGATTGGCTAGACTTGATGAACGAATTTGAGCTGAAGAAAAGAGGACGCCGAGCTCATGAAGGAGACACAACAAGGATTCGTCTGCCTCGCTCCTTTACAGTTCTTATCTCTGAACATGGTGGTCCTGATCTGGCAGGAAGGTTCGCAAGGTCTTGTCGAACTGATGATGTTCAATTTGTCAGAAATGAATACTTGTGCTTGGGACCTTCTGCTATGAAAAAGTTGTTTGAGCCAGTTTTGAATGGAATTGTAAAGCACCTTACACAGCTCCTCAAGGATGCTGCAGTTAAAGAATTGCAGTTTTTCTTCCTCGTTGGAGGCTTTGCCGAGTCGATTATACTACAGGAGACAATTAAGAAGAATTTTGACCAAAGGTAGAGGTTCTTTAATTTAAAGCTCTTCTTTTAGCAGGGGAAACTGGAGAAAAACAGAAAAATTATAAAATTGAGTAAGCTAGATCTATATTAAAGAAATGGTTCATGCTTAGAGAGGGTATATCGAGTTATGGATGTAAGCGGGAAGTGTGGAGAGCACGAGAGAAGTGTAAGAGTTGGTCGAGGTGCAGCCGAGAGCAACACTTACTAGCTTCTTCTCCAAACTTCCCGAATGCGTTCCATAACTCGACATACGCACATCTAAAAGCATGAACCAATTCTTCTAAAACATAGCATGCAGACACAAGATGTGCACGAAAAAATGGTTAATAACAACTGTGTCGAGTTTACCACCTAGTCGTGTTTTACCCGAAAACTTTGAATAAGTGACAATGCAAAAACGACCAAAAATATTTAGAGACCACATCTCAGTTCTTTGAAGAATTGTAAATTTTTTGCTGCAAAATTTTGAAACTTCTGCAATTGTCCAATTTTTAAAATAAAATCTTCTGTTGAACAATACTCTGAGGAGATATCAACACTGAAAAGTAATCTCTGCCGTTCGGAAAACGAAGCGAACACTTGCAAATTTCTTGCATTTACGAAACCCGTGTGGTAGATTTACCTTACTTGAATTGTTGTTTCCTAGAAATTGAGTATCTCTGTGTTGAAAACTTTAAAATTGTACAATTTTAAAAAAGCCTAACATTGAATAATACTTTTAGGACATATCAACTCTTCAAAATGATATTTACTGTTCTAAAGAAGAGTCCCCAATGTCGCAAAGCTTCAGCTGAAGTCCGTTTCGTTCATTATTAACCATAAATTGCATCGCGTTTGGGAGTAAAGTATTGTTAACTCCAAATTTGATTTCGTTGCTTGAAAAAGCCATACGCTCATTGTTTTCGAACGAGTATTACTGAGCATATTTCATTTTATATTGTGAGCTCCAAAATTTAGCTCAATCGAGATGGAAAGGAAAACAATCTTGAAAGTTTTGAAATCTTGCGGCTAATCTTAGCAACCGAAATGACACTGCACACATTTGGTTATGAATGCACGGTCGTGCGTTCATAAGGATCTTTACTATGGTAGCTCCTTTGGAAATATGTAGGGCTTGCGCCTGCAGTATGATATATTCTCTCTGCATCATTCTTGAAATGCTTTTATGAAATTCAGAGCATTAAATACATAAAAATAAATTTCAATTGATGTAAATTCAGTTTTGCTCTCTAGAATACAAACTTTCATAAATTAATGAGTGAAGGCGTCTTGCTATATCAGTCACTCTGACATTAACAATGACGTGCTTTCGACTATTTACAGAACCATGCTTTATGTAAGATACTAAAATGTTTCATTAATCGATTGTTTTGCAGATGTAGGGTTTTAGTTCCAAAAAACGCTAGCATTGCCGTTATGCAAGGAGCGGTGATGTTTGGCCAAAAACCTAATATAGTGGAGTCCAGAATTATGTCCACGACGTATGGGTTTGGCATAAATCATCGTTTTAATCCCGAAGTTCACCCTGTCGAGAAAAAGCAAGTCATTGAAGGCGTTGATTGGTGTAAAGATTGCTTTGTAGCTATGGTTAAGGAGAATGATAAGGTGAGAGTGGAAGAAACTAGAAAGTTCCTGGATTATCAACCCTTACAAGCAAGTCAAACGAGTGTCTCTTTCAAGTTTTACAACTCTACCAATCCAAACGCAAAGTATATACGACCGATGATGCCGTGGGTCCTTCCATTGGTGAGGTCACCGTCGAGTCACCAGACATCTCAAGAGGAACCGACCGAAAGATCGACGTCTGCGTCACGTTTGGTGGAACAGAGATCAAAGCCACAGCCATAGACAAAACCAGCGGTAACACGAACACGGTATATTTAGATTTCCTGTGTAGTAAAGCTTAAAAACTATACAGTGTTCGACATAAGACCGACATAAACTGAGATAATGGTTACATTTGTTAGCTTCAAAGAGAATGGAATCAAGTTATTTTGCCACCAGCGTAGAATGGCATTTTGTATAATATGTAATTGCAAACTGGAGTAACTGACGTGTTCAAGATAAAGAAGGTATTAGTAACTTTCCTACTCCATCCATTTGGTACTGGGTAGAGAATGGCTCGCATGTAGCTCAATTAAAAGCCTCTTGGATAACAATGGTGTACCATGCTTTTTATTTCTGATCAGTCTAAGCTGTATAAAGGTCTTGGTTTTCAGCATCGCCTCTTTTGCGTCAGCTCTCATATGAATATTTCTAAGTACCGTCTCTAGCTATGTTGTTACAAATTTCGTCAAATTGCTTAAATTACTGTTCATGCCACCTTAGCTGTTTATCATGCAAGAATTAATTGAACCTAAAAGTGGTCATTTTTATGATTTTCCTATTGCCTTGATAAAATTATCTCGTTTCACTAAGTTTTCCCGGCTTGTTGATCGCCATTAAGCTTCTGTCTAATCGTCACCACTTAACACGTGTAAATGTTGCAGACTTGCATTTCTGAATTAAATTAGTTTTAATCTAACTTACAATAATATAGAACTTTGTGAAATAAGATTAACATCGGATGTATACGAGTAGCTCGCGTCTTAAAATCAGCTGATGCTCAAAAACGTTCCAGCTCCACTTTTTCGTTTTGAAGAACTCTACTGCGTAACTTTTACAATGACTATTACCACTTTTTGGTTAAAAAAAGGGCTATTTTGGTAAAAAATGCTATTGTCAATTTGCTATTTGGTTGCTAGTTTGCTCTCGTTCGCCGTGCAATAGTGACATCTTAGAAATACAACCGACAGACTTACTATTTTATCTGACAAAGAACCTCTGCTTTACGAATCGATCTCCCCCCACCATCCTGCAGTCCAGGCCAAACGTAAAATCTGATTTCCTCTTCTTGCTCCTCCTTAGCAGAACTATGAGATTTTGAACGTACTGGGTGACTGCTTAGATATCCTCTATTCTTATGAATACGTTTGTCAAACTTAAAACTGTGGAACTCGAGCTTCATAGGTGGAACCTGGGTCACTATTTTCCAAGTCAAACGAAGGCAATCTTTGATGTACTTGTCAAGGAGTAGGAATAAATCTGCAGCTGGCTGGAACATACATGACTCGTCCCTTTGAAACCATTCTTTCCACTTTTCTAAGGCCTCAACTCTGACGCTCTGCAAGGTTTAAAAGCAACTTAAATATGGAAAACTATATTAAGGTTATCATCATTACAATGATCATTTTAATGTTACTGGCATCGTCATTGTTTATATTTCCACCATCAACGATAGCCTGTAATTAGTAAGTAATCAGAAATCTCTTAAACTCTTTTCAATTTATAAAAAAAAATAGTATATCTTGTAGTTCAACTTTTTCTGGACACATTGCTGGCGAAACCAAGCGGCAAGCATTACCTCCTCGAGGGATTCAAGGTTGCAGGTATCAGCGGTTTCTTTCAAGTTCATCAGGATGACGTCTGCAGTATCCTTAGGGTGCGGTAATCCGTCGCCCCACACTTTTACAGTTATTGGAACAACGCAATCGGGAGGGGAGTTTCCCTTTCTCCACGGCTGCAATGGAAGGGAAAATTATGTAAATCCGATTATCCATTCCCAGGTGAGGAACATCACAAATGCTTTCCCTGATCGTTTTAAAATAAAAATGTTTAACAAGCAGCAACGTGACGGTTTTAACTAATGGTAATGTCTTGGCAAATTATGCGAAAAGTAATGATATATTAAGCAGCTGTATCCCATGGTTTGTGCAAAGTTCCTCTTTTAGGTTAACTACAATCAGAGACCAGTTCGATCAGAAAAGCAAAAGAGTTAATCTCGATCTCAGAGCTGTTTGTTTAGAAGTAACCTGATTGTTTAGAAGTTTCCAGAAGTATTCTGGACTTCTAAACAATCTTACCAAGTTGTAAACTGGGTGCACTCGCGATGCATGACGTGACGTTCGCTACGGTATGAATAACTCAGAACATTTATTATACCTTACCTCCCTGGTAAGAAAAAAATCTGTACCCATTTGTGGTGCTCCACCAATCATCACCCTCAGTAACTCATTAAACAAGTCGCACGCGGTTTCCTTTATTCTTTTCACTATCTCGTATGCGATCTATATTAAGGAAAAACAACAGAGGCCTCTAGGTTAAAGCCATTACTAAAGACGGTCAAAGTTTGATAATTCATGCTTAACTTAAATTATAATTTAAGGCCGCTTTACTGTTGCAATCAATCTATCAATTTATCAATGCAGGGGACTGTGCAGACCGTGTTTTTGCTCAAGGCACCAGAAGCCAATTGTCAGAGGGGGACGTGGTTATGAAAGAGTCCCATATGAAGTGTCCGTATTTTTGTCGCCTCCGGGTAACGCTTACCATGGTCACATCTCACAAGTCTACCACACTCTTGCAACTGATACATGCGACTTCATATCTTTTTTTATAGAGGCACCAACATGGCGTTATGTTGGCTACATCTTAATTCTAAAGGTACTTTTCAACTATCTTATGGGTAGAAAAGACCTGCAATTAGCACCAGGATGTTTGCATACCGATCAGTGTCTTATAGATATCCCATGTTGACTTCTGATCTAAAATAGTTTTTGTTCAAGTGAAGATAAACTGAGAGAACTAATGGTTCTGTGGTGAAATATTTCATGTGTAATGTAGTGGAAAAGTACTTGGGGCAATGCTAGTAATATCACTGTAGGATTACTGAATGATGTGAAGTACTGTAATCAAATAACATGATTATACCAGCTTATCAGAAAGTTGATCGATAAATAAAAACAGAATATAGAAAGCAATTAAAGAGTGAGTGTCTCCAAAGTTAGCATGGGAGGAAGGTATTTCAACAGGAGGTTTGATTGGACGAACTGAATATCTTGCTCACGAGTTATCGAAATGCGCGACAAAGCACATTTCCCAGAATACAGAAAGCGACCCGGCTCGATCTTGATGATTCCTTACTTTTGAAAATCAATGCCGTTAATTGCTGACCTCTATGCGTGGGTAGCTATGTGACTTTATACCTCGACCCTCGACCAAGAGAAAGACTCATTTCAATTTGGTAGAGAATTAAATAGCGAATGACTGTTTACAAGAGCCCCCATGGTTTGACAGAAAATTAAAACATTAATACAAACTAGTCGATGGTGATGAATAATCGATAGTGAGTTATTAGTCTGAGCAACAGTTAAAGGCGATTTCTTATCGAATTACGCAACCTAGTCCGACAAATTTATTGAGCTCAGTGTTTAAATGGGTTGTTGAAAGTAGAAATATTTTGCGAAGAATCAATTTGAATTAATTTGAAACATCCATTTATGTGGCAATGGCGCGATTTAGAGGAAAGGTTCAATCTCGCAGCCAATACACTGATTTCTAACCTTGAATTTTGCTAAGCGGCATTGACTAGCTTCTAGCTAAATTCGGTTAGCTCAATGGCCTATTACTTTCATGAATTGGTGGCGAGTTTGATAGAAGACATTGTGTTAATGAGCTCCAGACGTGTGCGAGAAATTAAAAAACGTCAATTCAATAGCAGACGTTAAGCGAGCCAGAACCTCAGTTAGGCACGATATTTTGAAGATTCATACATCTGTGTACCTATAAATCAATAATGGTAAGTATTCGAATGGTGAGGCAAACATTTGTAGATTTGTTTCGATAATGAGCGGTTACATTTTTTGAAAACTGATTTAAAACTTGAACACCGAAAAACGCAAAGAGAGATGGTGTCGAGATCGTTAATAATGGTAATTGAACTGAGTGGAGTGCAGTTTGGGCTGAAATCATACGCGTTATTTCAAAATCGAGCGAGCGCGCAGCGCAAGTTCGATTTGAAATCACATGTATGATTTCAGATCAAAATTGAACGTCACGAGGTTCCATTACCACTTTTTTACATCCACTTTAAAATTGCCCAAATACAGGACTCGGTCAGTTCAAATATTTTACTGATGCAGTACTGAGCCGATTTGAAATTAAATTCATCCATTTTTCGGGGGGAAAAAATAGGAGTTTTGGAAACAAAAGTTGCAAAATTTGCCACATGATACTCTTTGTCTTTCATTTTCCTGCAATTTACTTTAAAAAAGCCTTGAAATCTGATTGTTTTGTTTTTAGTGTGACCTCTTCATTGGCTGGGAAAAAGAAGCGATTAAAAGCACAAAATAGTGCGATTCGTGAATAAATCACACCAATTAGAGCCAATCAGACTACAGGTACAACCAGTGATTTTAAAATGGGTGTAATAAACCGCGTTACCATGGGAGGTATAAATAAGAATAACTTCCAGGCGTGGTGCGAAATTAAAACTACACTTTAAAGCATTACCATTGGTCACGGGGATAAGTTCTCTTAGTTTATAATCTCTGGTTTTTGTTACATAATTTTATCGAACGTCTAAATGAAAACGAAGTGTCCGATGTTATATGCCGCGTTTTCCTTTATGTGCTTGCGTATGACCATCAACTTGCTACGTAGGTACACAGCTGTGTAGCCCACTTGTGTTCAATTGCCTTGAAGCCATTAAAAACTATGTTCCTTTGTCTTTGGTTATGCTCAAATCGACATTATTTTTTATCTATCTTATTTAAAGTATTGAAATTTTATTTCTTTCAGTGTTGTTTCAATTTTCTTCCACTGGACCCACCGATGCTCAAATAAGCGCAAAACTCTTAATTTTTATGACCGTGATAAATTTAGCATGCATTTGCTCCAAAACAAGACATTTCAGAATTGAAAAAAAAAAGAGTGGAGGGAAAAAAGGAAACTTAGTGGTATTTGTTATACGTGTATCACAGAAGTGAGTCAATAATGCGTTGAGGTGTAGTAGTGATCAGAAACACCCAGTCGTGGTTTACTTTGTTTGGTTTTCGTTTGTTATTTTCATTTCCTGATAAGAATTCTGATGAAAAAGAAGTGAAACTGAAGAATCAAGATCTGGATCAATATCAGTATCTGGGCAACTACCCACCTACCCCTACCCCTACTTCTCCCCTAACCCAACATTAACCTTAACTTGTTGTCTATTGACTGTTGTTGAGTTAGCGGAGGGGTAGGTGGGCAGTTGCCCAGATACTGATATTGATCCCAAGATTTGACATTCCATTTCAGTTTTTTCTGGGAAATTTACAAGTGAACCTGACCTGAACGGGGTTTAACATCAACTAAGGCCTCAAATGAGAGCCTTCCCCTCTGTCTCCCCATTTTCTCCTATTCATTTTTCTTGTTCAAAGACTTAATCACCTTACCTCAAATATGATGCAGGCTAGTCTAGGATAGTAGATGTATAGATGAACTTCTTCCTTGTTCTGATAAATGGACTGCATTTTATCACATGCATCAAGCCTTTCGTTGTCAAAAAATGCTGAGAAATTTTTTTCCAGTTCAGACTGTCTGTTAGCGGAGGTGGTATCTTCCACTAATCTCTGAACTTGCTTAACTTGCTTTTCAGTAAGAAAAGCCAGCCTTCAGGAGAAAAAAAAAATAATGGAGTCTCTAGTATTATTCATCAGATTATGGTTGGGCTTATGAGGCAAGCAGAAAAAGGTTGCACATCTGAACGGTAAAGAGAGACCAACACGGCAAAGCAGTTGGGTCGGGAGGCAAGCGCCCTCACCATTTCCCCGACGTCCAAAAGTTACATTAATAATTACTCTTCGTTAACATTAAATACAAAGCGATTGTAAGCGGAAAGAGTTAACAAAACAAAAAAAGTTTGCTGAAGTCCAAGAAGAACAGATGCAGATTCACTTATCCTAAAGAAGGCGTTTTATCAGAGTACAAAACACGGGGCTAAAGCTTCTACGCCATCTGTTTCCGTCCATTTCCCGGAACTCTCTAGCTTTTTTTTCTTTGTTAATTGACCCACAAATATTGCATGATCTGTAAAATGAATATGAAAACGAGCCCCACTTCTTGACTTCACTTATAACAGAACAGAGCACAGTCAAGGCTTCTCTATTTGTTTTATAATAAAGAATCCGTTAAATTCCCCATACATTACTTTCAATTTTCAAAACGAACTTTATTTCCAAAGCGAACAAGTGTCGTCAGCATGCTCTATACTCTCAGAGAGCACGCTACAATAAGCCAATCAGAATCCCTGTTAGAATGGTTCAAATAATCTGATTGGCTCTATAAGACAAAAGCTGTCAAAAGTGTCAAACCATCAAAGTTCACAATCTGCGATAGTTTACAAACTAAAATTGTTCGGCAGGTCGAATTTAACGCTTTTGCCTGAAGTTTTTAAGTCTCTAATACAGAATCTTGAAGTGAAATCATGATGTTCAGTGAACTTCAGCCGAATTATGGCTCATAAAAAACGCGAGTTTTTCACATGACAAGGTAGAAAACAAACTGTTCAAGGCGAGTGTTTTTAAATGAGCGACAGCCGAATTCACCGGAACATGAAGATCGCTCGGGATGACAGCGCCGCAAAACTCGGCTGCAGTGACTAAAGTGACTTTCCACTCAACGCATCGGAAAGGATATCAGAGCGACATCTTATTTTTTCACTCGAAGGGCGGCCGATGTAGTTTCTGAGGCTTGTTTCACTGTGATGACCGGAGATTGCCATGATAAGCGAGCCGCGATGGACTTCAGCATGATCATATTTTCTAAGACACCGTCATGATTAGTATGAATTTTAACAGGTATGCCAGTTTGGTTATATTTTTCATCATTTCTGTTTTGTTCTGTTTTGTTTTTTAACTCTGAATTTTATATACTATACGAGTGTTAGCTGTGTTTGATTTTTATTATCGTACTTACGCTTGCAATCTAACTGAGCGTGAAAATCTTTGAAACAAGGAATGTCTATTTTGTTTTTCCTTTGAGGATTTTCGTATCTGCTCACGTTTTAATAACTTAAATTACGGCGCCTGGTATGTTTACAAACCTTTGTTTGGTTCTTCTGTTGCTACTTTCCGGCTCGCTTCAGTTCCGAAATTTCACTTTCAATTATCGGAAAAAAGCTAAAGAGAAGTCCCGGAAAAGGTCGAACATAGTATAATTTGGCAGATGGCGTGACAGCTTTAGCTCAGTTCTATGCTCTATTTAACAAATAGATTCCAAGTTGCCGTGCCAAGCTATTTGTTTTATATAATAAAGAATTAAAATATACGGAAAAAAAAGTTTTAATGAAGACGTCATCTATACGTCTGTCCTCCAATAGATCATAAGTGAGAACCAATCAGAATGCGTACATAACTGAGCTTATTATATAAATTCTCATAGAGCACGCTCTTTCAACCAATGACAGCGCGCGTTATATCCGAACTTTATTATAAAGGAGTATAAATCATGCTGACAACGCTTTTCTTCTCTCTGGAAGTTTTGTTCTTAAAACGAAAGTTTGTTCTAAAAACAAAAGGAACGCGTGGGGAATTTGGAGAATTCTTTATTTATGTGCTCTGTTCTGTTGTAAAGCACACATGAAGCAGCTGGAGCACGAAAGAAGTAGGAAGAGATACTCCACCACGCCATGTGTTTCTACTTATACTTCTTTCGCGCTCTAGCCTCTAACTGTGTGCTTTACAACAGAACACAGTACAAAGCGTCTTGACTTGTTCATTAAAATAGAGAATATTAGCAGAGAACATGATAGTTAAAAAACATAGATAAGAAAGTTACAAGTATTATTGAAGATGTGTTAAAATTGCATAATCACAAACAGTGTAATATTTGAGTTTAACAGAATAGTTTTAACATAATAACTAAACTCTCAAAATTGTCACTATCAAAAAACTTCGCACGAATTCTCTTTATTTAAGTAATTTCTACCAAGGAACTGAAACCAAAGCCAAACAAACAGTTTATTACAAAGTCTATATCCAAAAAACTGATCAAAAAATTGTATTATATTACTTGTGTTCATGAAGAAAAATTTGTATTTGCATATTTTTCTTCCCTGATATATGTAATAAACGAATAATGATTTGAAAATGAATAATTGTGGCCGAAACACGGGCAATATCCCTATAAAGTATCCCGGGAAACTAAAGACGAGATTTAGGTTTGTGACGTCACAGCGTTTGATAACATTGCTGTCTTGGGACGCCGTCTTGTCATATCTCTTTCAAACAATTTAAATTCACAAGCAATTTGCTAGCTAATACCGCTTATTTTTGACCCGCTCTGTATAATTTCGCGTTTCCCTTCGCTTTCAGCCATCTTAGTTTGCTCATCAAACACAATAACGTCACAGACGTAAACCATATGAAATTTTAGCCGTCGATCTCTGAGACAATTTCGACCCGAAGTAACGCGTTTTTTGAACGAAAATAAGGGGTTTTTAGAATATTTTTACGTTCTATAAACTTTAAATAGGTAGCTCAATGAGAATTGATGATACAGGCGCGATATGCTTCAAACAACTGGCCCCGAGAGAAGGAATTGATTTTTTTCTCGAGAATATCAGTGTTTCCGTGAGCAGAGCCAGCTACATAAGCCCATTGAAGCGCAAAATATTTAGGCTTGTGGACATTATGCTCTTAATTTTTGAGCATTTTAGTCAGGCACAAGTATTAACTATTACTCGATCATTTTGGTATTATTTTCAGTGAAAATAAAGAAAAATTTCTTTTTTAGAGAACTTGAAATTTAAACGCATTTCAAGTGTCACGGTTGCCACCCTGATACTCCGGCTCAAGGTTTCAAAATTCAATACTTAAGACTCAAGAGCCAAAGGCAGTCATGAATACGACACGCAATACCAGGGAATTATCTCAACATTTATTCATTCTAGATTTGTTGCAATACGACTTACACTCCCTATTGATTTTAGCATTTTAACACTCTGTTAAAATGCTCGAAATGAAAACATTGAAAAGAGAAATTTGAGCATTTGAGTAACTTTTTTAAAGTAAAACAGAGCATTTTAGTGGGGGAAAAAAACATAACGTACAAAAACCAAGAAATGCTGCAGTATTTATATGTCACGCCACCTTCAATCACGTTCTATTCGCGTCCGTCGGTCGACAATCGCTAGTATCGGTACTCTGTTACCCTCTGACGAGATAGATTTTGCAAAAATGCTCGCTCGGAGACTTTTGGCGGGAAATATTGTAACTCCACGCAAGGTAACTTACATTTTTACTGATTACCTCACCTTTGAGTATACTGGATGATTTTCTCCTCCTTTTCTGCAAGTTCCTTTCGAAGAATGTCATTTCTGTAATAAGAAGTATAAAAGTATGGCACCTCAATCTGAATTCATGTGTTTTGTATACAAATTTTCGGTGGAAATGGAAACTATCGCATATAGGTTTAGCAGCCAGAAGCCCTAATGTACGCAAAATTGCCGCGATTTGTTTGTACCTTTAATTTGAGTGTAACCTATTATCTGAATTAATAATAAACGCGTAATTTGTACACTGCCGAGATTTCTTTGCAACCCTGCTACATATTTTTTCCAAAACAATCAAAATACCTGTTCCGCTCTAAACTAAATTAGCTGAATTCAGGCTTCTGTGCGCTCTATATATGAAGAATGAGACAAAAGCACATCAAAATGCGTCAAAACCGTTAACAGCACTGCCAGTTCAGGATCAATTTGCTGTTTACGAATTATTGCTACCATCTGAGGATAAATTGTTGCCATCGAAATACGCCTAATGATTATTAAATATGCCTTCACCATATCAAAAACCTCCATTTTAATCTAATCTTAGCCACCCCAAATTAAAGGAACATTCAAATTCCTATCAAAAAGGTGTGAACTCTGGCAAGCACTCAATTTTCCTCCTCTACCCTCGCTGTTTCCAAACTCGGCTGCCTTTCCTTCTTCATCAAATCTCATAATTGTAACGATAAGAAATCAGAGCATGCAACAGGCTGAGCTAAAGTAAAACACCAAACGTGAAGTTCATTGAAGTCTATCAGCGGAAATGCTATCAACAGATTGCAGTCAATCGGAACATCACGAACCAAAATACTGCTCTACCAGCTCAACAAAGGTTATGAATATTCTTTAATAAAGCATAAATGGGGTATCGTCTTTTGTCTTGCGATGGACAAAATGCAAATTTATTTGTTGGATTGTAAAATGTTAAGCTACTTTATAAAATACTTTTTTATCATTTTTGTTTTGGGGGGGGGATTAATAAAAGTAAACAGTACTAGTTTAAAACGGAAGAACAGCGACACTTAAACAGTAAGTTGTAAAACTTGCCCCTTCACATGATAATGTCATTCATCTAGCCTTCATCAGAGAACTTTTTGGCTATAATTGTCATTTTTATAGTAAATGTTAGCATTATCTCAATAGAATATCGCCATCTTAACAGTCATTGTTCCCTGTGTTGTAAGATATCATGTAAAATATTCCGTAAAAAATATGCACTAATCAAGTCGGATAAGAACGGAGATCATCATAATAGTTTACACTATATAGTTTTTATAATCACCACTAGGTCACCTTTTTATTCCGGGGATCCATGAATTTTTTTAATTTTGGAGCAAATGACTGATTACCAGTAAGTCGATCGACTAATGAGGTTATTAGCACCAAACAGATATGTATAAGTAAGTCTAGAATCAAGTTTGCGCCAGCGGGACCCCGCTTGATTTCGGAAGGTACGATTAGTCTAAAATAACTTCAGAGTGATAATCTTTGGAGTTAGGCCGATATAGAGGACTCAGTCGATAAACTTAACTGACTTTTGGCCGTTAAGATTAGAATCGCTGCTCCCCTCAAACTGAATTCAAATCGTAAATATTGGAAACTTACTCTTCCTCTTGCATTTTAACTTTTTCCTTCGCCCCTTTTTCCTTCGCCTTCAATTCTTCTCTCAGTTTTGAGTTTCTAAAGAAGGAAAGAGCCTAATTACATACCAGAAAAGTAAAGAAATAACAAAGGGCTCGTTCTTTAGACAGCTAAGATGTATACTCTTTTTTAATATCGATTACTCTTCGGCATATCTTTGCTCTCCATCTAAAAAACCTTAAAAGTTTATCAGAGCAGATTACATGCGTGCGCACCAAGCAGATACACAATGAACTTACGAACTACTAGAGCGGAAGTGCGAACCACGAACATGCCGTCGTGAACAAACTCTTTCTGCTTGGTGGGTAACAATATTCTCTTATTCCAGGAGCTCTGCTAGCAAATGGCAAGTTTAATGAGTCTTGACAGTGCTGATTCGCAGAAGCACTAAACATAACCATGTAAAGGTCATAAGAAAGGCGATTAATATATTATAATTTTGTCTATTAACTTACATCTGAGTATGTTTCGTGATTTCCTCCTCCTTTTCCTTAAGAAGAGTTTCATTTCTAAGATAAGAGATTCAAAGGCAAAACAACTTACTCTGATCTTGCGTGTTTCTGTAAATTTTATCAGTAGATATGGTAACCCTCTCAAATAAGCAGAAGCTCAAATGTACTCACCATCGGCCCCAGTTTAATTGCTTACATGACAGGACGGAAAACGCGTGCACTGTAAGTACCTCCCGTTGTCCCATACAAAGCCTTAGAAAAGTTTTCTAAGGCTTTGTATGGGACAACGGGAGGTACTTACAGTGCACGCATTTTCCGTCCTGTCATGCAAAAATTTAACCTTTCTGTACTACCAGAATTAATTCTAAGCGCACAAAATGTACACTGGCGAGATTTCTCTTCAACCCAATTACATATTTCCACCCGGAAACGATCGAAATTCCTCTTCCAATGTTTTAGCTGAATACAGACTCTTGAATAAAATGGATGACTCTGATTATTTGCCTCTGAAGCAACAGATATTTTAAAATGATCCATATGCAGCAGTATTCATTTACCTTCAGTGCCTTCTTTCCCTCACGAGAAAAAATGCTAAGAATAATTGTTTTAAATCTAATTTGGCATTCAAGCCTGAATTTATGATCTGCAAGATTCTTGTTGTAGTCCTCATACATTTTCTGGATATAGTCACTTTTCTACAATAAACTTTAAGATCAGTCAAGAAATGATTGAAATCCTTTTTTTTAGGCGTGAAATCTGCTGTAAGATCTGATTTAAATAGACTCAACACAAATTGACCTCAAAAGCGTCAAGATTTTGCGATGGACAACTACAGCCAAGACGAAGAGAATTTTCATCCAGAACCCTGTCCAACTTTAGAATACCGGTCAAGTAAAATCGATGTTAATGAGTAAAAAATGTACATTAACAAAAAAGGCAGCTAGAACTGGATACAAGACTCAATTTTTGTTTATTCCAAGCCGATTTTACTGATTCAATCAGACAGTTGATATAGACTTACTTTTCTTTCATTGCCTGTATTTCGCGTAACAATCTATCGACCTCCTTCTGATGTTCATTCGCCAGGCCTTCAGTTCTAGCAATAAAGAATTAAAGATCTCATTTTAAATAAAAAAAATTAATCACTGTTAACTAGCGAAGACATAAACAGATTAGTCAACTTCATAAATACACTATTCATCTGCTGTCTAAGAATTACCATTATCATTTACATGTAAATCATTTACATTGTAAACTATTTTCACCAATAAATTACCAATGACTCAAACTATCCCTTCATCACGGAAAATCCTTTCTTCCACAGTAAGATTTCAGTCCTAATTTATTAGCTCGTCTCTTCTGGAAAGGGTTTCAGAGTCACCCTAAATTTACGAAACGTTCAAAATCCCGCCAACAAGGTTTAGCTTCTAGTGAGCACTCACTTTTCCTTTTCTTCTCTCGTTATTTTTACGATCTGCCTTTCCTTCTTCTCCTGTTCACTTTCGAGTCTCGCGATTCTGACGATAAGCAAACTTGATAAGTCAAGTCAAGGAAAAGCACTAAACGAGAAGGAATTCATGGGAAAGCTATCTTCAGACTGAGCTCAATATGCAAATTACAAAGCAAAATCTTATACTGTAGTAAACATTGGTGTCATTTGTTAAAACAACATCACTTGGGTTTCAATGGAATTTCTTCCCACGTGGATCGAGACGTTTTGGTCGAGTGATTGACTGGTTTAGTGTCATCTAAGTAAGGATAACGCTCCGTTGTGACTGGTTGAGCAGAGAGGCTTTTTGTCCGCGAATGCGCGAGATTAATTCAAATTTTTCCCATTCGGCGCCGTTCTGATGTTTTCAGCGTGTTTCCACGGGTTTTCAACTGGGCTATCCCCACCTTTTTCTCATAATTTTTGAAGAGGGATGGCAGAATATGCCAAGTTTACCACCATTTCTAACTCTGTGGATACTTGTGGGGGAATGATTAGCCTAATTTGAGCATCTGAATGTATTTTAGTTGGGAAACAAAAACGTGTACGAAAGCTAGAAATGCTGCAAAGTAGGAATGTCACGCCACCTTCAATTACGCTCTGCTCACGTGGAACGGTGGTCATGTGACCCCGCAGATACACATTAGAACGAGTGCTGCTGGGGCAATAATTCCAGCCATAAATCAATGTTTGCTTTAACTGAGCAGGGATTTTGCCTGGAATTTGAACAGAGTCTTTCTCTTGAATTAAGATTCGTGGAGCGAGCACGGCATCTACAAAACTAGGTGAGTTAAAATTTGTCTTTTAACTTACATCTGAGTATATTTCGCAATTTCCTCCTCCCTCTTTTCGAGTTCCTTAAGAAGAGCGTCATTTTTGTGAAAAAAGATTCAAAAGTAGAACAACTTATTCTGATCTCGTGTGTTTTGGTAAATTTTAACAGTACATATGGTAACCCTCTCAAATAGGCAGGAGCTCAGATGTAACAAAATCTAGGCTTTCTGTATTGCCAGAACGAATTCTAAGCGCACAAAATAGCGATTAGGCTTAGCTTTTACTTGGCACTCACCTTTCCTTTTCTTCTCTCGTTATTTCTGTAATCTGCCTTTCCTTCTTCTCCTGTTCACTTTCGAGTCTCGCGATTCTGAAGATAAGCAAACTTGATAAGTCAAGTCAAAGAAAAGTACCAAACGAGAAGGATTTCATGGAAAAGCTATCATCAGCTTAAATTCAATCTGCAATTTGCAAACCAAAATCTTGCGCTAATATCGTAATAAATGATATATAGATTTAGCCAAGCCTAAAAGCGGAGCTCGCATTTTTTTTCCCGCACGTCTTAAGGGCACAACGCCTTGCCCCGGCCAGGACTAGACTCCTGGTCGGCCGACTCGGAGCTCAGGGCACTGACCACTAGACTACTGGACAAAGCCGTAGCGTTTGTGTGCCCGCGATACAGTTGACCACGCATGTTAGAAGTGGCATCTTGTATGGTCGTACGGTCGTAAGTCCAAATTTTTTCGGCTTGGTGTGTTACTACTATTTTTTATAATTATGGGGCTACGCTCTGCGAGCTCCGCTATAATTGTCATTCATGAAAACAACATCATTGGAACATTATCTTTTGCCACGTGAATCGCGTCGTTTGGTCGGGTGATTGACATGTTTGGTGTCATCTAAGGGAGGATACGCTCCTCTGTGACTGGTTGAGCAGAGAGGCCTTTTGTCCATGCATGCGCGAGATCAATTCAAATTTTGGCCGTTCAGCGCCATTGTCTTTTCAGCGCGCTTCCGCGGGTTTTCAACTAGGCTATGGCCACTTTTTTCTCATAATTTTTGAAAAGGGATGAAAGAACATGCCGAGTTCATCACCATTTCTAACTCTGTAGATACTCATGGTGTTTGCTGGCTCTTCGGATGAGGATACTTTTGAGGACAAAGCGCGAACAAAACGCGAAAAAAGGCTGAAATTTTGAAGTTTGAGATTTTGTTTCCTGAAGATCAAGATGTGCACATGAGACAACAAGCCTTTAAAGTAAGTCTAAAGATGTCGATGTCTTACTTCTATTAATCACGACCTTTCTTTTTTGGAGACGATCGTGAGAAATTTGTTACGAAGAAAGAAGATACTTTGAATTTTGCTTCAACTTCGAAATAAAATTGCGTTAAGTTCGAGGTCGCCCCAGGCTTCCTTCCTTTCTCTTTGTAGTCACATAGGACACAACGCTTCAGGATTGCATTGCTCTTACTACAATCTTTGGCGAATTCGTTTTCGGGAGGTTTAGGTGGATTTCCAAGTAATGGCTCACAACCGTCTTTGGTCTCTTAGCTCTCCAGGTCTGTTGTACATGGTTTGTAGGCGTGCGTCTTAACGACGGTTATAGTCATGCCTCAATCATCACCGGTTTTACACTATTTTTTGTTGTGTTCTGGTGGGAATTTTTCTAATTGCCTATTTGGGCTTGAAGTGCTTACCAGGGGAATAACCACGGTAAAACTTGTTTATCAAAAGGCCCCCCAATCCCTCACCACTGTCAGTTTATTGTTTACTTAGCTTTCGGTCTTACCAGTTCATTCACTTCAAAAAAAATGGGCTTTGTATCATGAGTTAAAACTTGTATCGTTTTCTTTATGTTCATGTGTTAATCGAAACAAATGTCTTGGTACACACCTCTCCACTCATGGTGCAATTCTCGATCATCTGTTTAGGCTTACGGGTAGTTTGACCAAAATTAAGTCATCAAATTTTGATGACATTTGTCGCATCATTGACCATAAACTGATGATATTTCCGAGACTAATGATTCAAAAAAGTTTCTTTACTCTGATAAAATCTTTAATTATTCCTCCATTTCTAACAAGCTCTCCTTTGGTTTGACGACCATATCTGTAGAAGAAACGTTATCTTGCTTTTCTTTACTCGACATTGACCTTTTTTTTTGGTAATCGGCCCCGCCGGTTGTGATTCATGTCAAAAAAAACTTTTCTGAAAACTTTCGTCGTTCGTCTTTCGTCTCTCGCTTAAATTGAAAGTAAATTGCACTAACAGTTAAAGCTCTACAAAACGCTTACAGGAAAGTGAGAACTTCGAACGATCAAACGGTTACTTTAAAAGAGAGCAATAACACGATTAACGTACTATCCAATACGTCTATGCTCTTCAACAAGCCTCCTGCATCCTTCATAAATGACGTCATCGACATCGATCGCCCAAACAATCATAAAACGAGACTCGAAGTCGTTAGCTGACTTGAAAATCACTTCCTTCCGCACACCACAAAACAATTTTAAGACTTTGACGCTTCCATCAAAGCTACAGAGGGAAACATGATAAGAAAGGTTCTGTCAAATACTCGATCCATTGTTATTTTGCGACGTATCTTCCTGCTTCTCTTCTAGTCTTTAGCGGGAAACCGACGCAAGCACATACCAGCGGTTACTCGCATCAAACAAAAATGTATAAAATGCCTCTCTACTGACTGGTTGGTTTTTAACACCCAATCATGTTGGACTTATACTCAGGAAAATAAAAATTCCTCGCAGATGAGTTACAATTATTGAAATTGAAGAAAAGAAGCCTGAAGAAATTTAAGTTACGACAGGATTCGAACCTGTAACTCCCGGATGCTAGTTGGGTGCTGCTATCTAATGCGCTACAAAACTGCATGTGGGAGTGTAAGACATAATAATTTTAAGGCCATGTTAAGTTTCCGAGGATCAACAAGTTCTACCAGATGTATAGCAACTGCAAGTCCATTTTCTAATAATGTTATTAGCACCAAACTGACGTACATAACTATGTCTGATTTCGGAACATGACTAAAAGTGTTAAATAAATTCAGAGAGATAATGTTTGGAAGGCCAATGTGAAGGACTTACTCACGTTCATACTCTTTTTGCCGTTAAGATTAGACTCGCTGCTCCCCTGCTGTCTCAAATTCAACTTACACTAGTTAGATGTTATGAAAATACAGTGAAATGTAAACAAATTTTAAATTATATAATTTGAGAATTTACCTTTCCTCTTGCTTTGTAATTTTCTCCTTTGCCTCTTTTTCCTTTTTCTTCAATTCTTCTTTGAGTTTCAGATTCCTAAGAAAAGAAAGAGCTTATTCATATACCGTACAATTATGATTAAAACCAACTAAATAGCACTCTTCACATTGTTTCTCGTAAAGTAAATCCTAAAGCATCAAAATTGTTTTTGCCAACACTTATTTCTGGAATGCAATTATTAGGCATTCTGACATTAGTATCAGCTAAAGCACCTCAACCTAACAATTTTTGCCGCATGAAATTTATTTGCGAAATGCAATTTAGGGGCAGCTTAAATACATTTATAATCTATGGAAACAATAACTGTGTTAATATCTGAAATTTTAATTTAGAGCCAGGAAATTTGTTTGTAACAGTTGTGCTACCCTTTGCCATTTTGCTGTTATGGATTTGTCTAGTTTCAAATGTACGTCGTTTAAATGGAAACCTTTAGACAAAATTTCACGTTAAAATTTTAAAGAAAAATGTCTCGTAATCAGATTGAAGAGTTTCATTTCAAGTCAAGAATTCTGAATTTCTTTGAGGTTGCAAGGGTGGCACATTCGCTTGGGTAATATACCAATGCATTGAAAATGTCGAAAGATATTTGAATAACGTGAATTATTCAGTTACAACATAGTCATATCATAGGCATATCAACACTCAGTTGAAAATCTTTAAAATTTCATTCTTTCAAGATTTTTTTCGTTCTTTAAACCACTTTGATGTACCTTTAATTGTGATCTAGTACTCTTAGGCATATCTTTGCTCTTCGTTTGAAGCTCAGAACTTCTTATCTCAGTGGAGACGAAGAGTAAAACAAACTTTTTTCTTTACTTCTTTGGCTTCCATGCGTAATAAGCAGATAACCAAGGCTACTTACAAACTAGATGTACGGAAGTGGGAATTACGGTTAAGATCATGAACAAATTTTGTCGGCCAAATGGGTGATCATAGTCTCCTATTTATAGAGCTCCACAAGTAAGTTAAATGAATCTTAGGAGTGCTGGTTTTGAGGAACACTAACCATGGCAGTTTAGAGGCCAATTTTATAGATCTTAAAAGTGACTATTTTACTTATTAGGATATAAATTTAGGTGTTCTCACTCCTCTTCCACCAGTTTTAACTGTTCTTTATTCGCCTCTATTGTATCTTCCTTTTCCTTCAATTCTCTCTCCACGTACCTAATAACACAAATGTAGTGTGAGGACGCAGATACCGAAATAAAGAAAGTTTCAGTCGTTTAACCATCGCCAAAGAAAAGGGCTGACTGATGGAGAAATACCACTTGATCAACGTGTGGTAGTTCGTAGAGTTGAATTGTGGTATGCGTTACAAAATAGAGAGCTTTTTTGTCACGCGCTCTATATTTCAACATGGAAACGAGGCCCCGATCTAAATTGTCCTTTTAGCTCCTGATGGATAAGCGAACGCGACTAAAAATTAAAGGAGATTTCACAGTCAAGTGAGTAGATGTGAAATATTTGAAAAAATGATGATAAGGAATGTCACCTGACTGCTGATGTCAGTATTTTTGTCCTATTCTAGAAATATCAAGTAGCTAGCTTATTACCATTACCTTAGTAAATTGATCTTATTTGTATCTGAAATTCCGATATCTTTTTAAATAGTATCTTCAGCCTGTCGGGGCAGATTTGAAAACGAGGCAAATATGAAGAGCGGTGTACCTTCGGTCAAATGCTTAAAATAAAAAGCATTCATAAAAAGGTGTCGCATGAAACAAACATTTTTAAGTTTGCGAAACATTTTACGACATTGCTGGTACCCTTTCGGTTCACCCCACTTCAGTTCCAAATGCTCGCATTACAGTTTGAATTTAACTTTAAAAATTGTTCATCGAATCACGATGTAAGACTAACAGAGTCTTAAAAAATTTAAAAAGAACATAACAGAGGCACAGGCGGACAGAAGTGGTATTCTTAAGCGTATCCTTGAAGGATTTCTTTTGCTATCCACCTCCCAGCAATACGCGCGGGAATAGCACTGGAAAATAAATGAGTCAAAATCATCTCTTTGTGCAATATTATATCCTGTTTTAATACTTACTAGGTACAATAATGATACACATGAAAAATTACGCGCTTCTGATTAGCTGAAAACGAGTGCATTCTTCATGTAACACGACTGCAAAGTTGTAACACAAAGGGCAAAAAATATTTTGTCTGTCTTGATTTTTCGGGGAGATTTTTTCCTGTTAATTATTAATAAGTAATAACATAAGTTTGAGTGCAATTTGGTGCATCTAAGCACTTGTATATTTTTTAAGACGACAATTTGGACTCGCCCTACGGGCTCGTGCAATTTTGTTGTCTTTGAAAAATTTACTCGTACTTGTTTACACTAAATTGCACTCGAAGTCATGTTACTACCTATACGTATATATATTTACTATTATCATTCAACTATGGTAAGTATTGTTTTGGTTTTATGTGGATTACTTTAAAGTACCACTTTTGCACTCCTCTCCGTGCGCAACAAGTTTTTAAATTAGTTCACGATTCTGTATAGAGTAATCTTACGTCGTGATTCGATAACGCATTTGTTAAGTAAAATTCAAACTGTAACATGAGCATTTGCAAGAGGGTTTCGACGGAGTTTAACCGTCAGCAGTCAAAGAGGATAGATTTTTACGGTCAACCGTCCAAAATGCAAATCATTACTAACCGTTAAACAGTTTAAAGAATTTGTATACTTAAGTCGCTTGCTTCCAAGAGCTTAAGATCTGGAAGAATCCTTCGGATGGTTAACTGGTTTATAATATTAAAAGATGGCTGACTTTATTGATGACTTGTCTTTGTACACACCACTACGCACTGTTTCTGTCCATTGACAAGATCACAACTGAGATCACGCTTGGATCACGTAGAGTGTCCTGAAAGCTTTCGATAGCTTTTATAACAAAAATCATCACTGGCAGTTTTCGCCAGATTATTAATGATTCCCTCGAGATCGACGACATTTTTATCTTCGATCTATGTTTGAAATAGTGAAAGTAAGCAAAAAACTAACGTTCCAATTGAATGGATGAGAATCTTAAAAGTGTGCGAGATGCAAACGTAACAATCCAATGAAAGAGAATCTTAGAAGTACGCGAGATA